GCAGCCAAAAGGTCAGGAGGGTGACTGTAAAACAACAGGCTGAAGAACTCCATACATTTAGTGGGTCAAATGGTAGATCTCTTTAAATCAGTGTGGACTGATACACCGGTAGAAACGGATCTGTTGGTTGCGACTGACAAGTGACACGTGTAAAACTGTCCAGAAACATGGGCTGTGAAAGTGCACATGCTACTTAAATTGGTGGTTTGTGTAAAAGATGATTCACGTTTCGTGCTCGTACAGTCACCGTGACATCACTGTGTGTACAGACAGCTGCAGTACTCTGCAGAATGAACATCATAAGACAAGTAGCCCCTTTAGTCTTTGTCATAGACATTTCCCTGTAGTTTGTGATTTTTGTCTACAGAGTTTGATGATTGTATCTTTTATCTTGAGACTCACTAAAACTGAACTTATTGATCTTTAATGATCAGAAATGCTCATCTGGGGGAGTAAGCATTCCCCCTGGGTCCTCTTTGGTTTTACACTTAAATCCCATGGCCTGGGGGGGGGCCTTGAAGTGAGTGACGAGGGTGTGTTTTTTCCACCTGAGGTGAGCGTGGGTAGAAACAGGCTGGTCGTCTCTCTGTAGGGCTGGTTCCCCAAACAGGTGTCTGATTTGTAGCTCTTGTCTGTGCTGCATAAAAATAGACACAGTGCTCATTTCTTAATGGATGTAAACAACATTTTGGTGAAAGTCTGGCTGTTTTGTTTTTACTTTAAAATGAATCGAGGATTTATTTTGTAGCTGTAAACTTCTTTTCTGTCGGCATATTTCATCCCTAAGCTGCTGGATTCCATGCTGCAGGGACATCAGCCTGATCATTCAAGTGTAATGAATTGATTTTTTTTAATTAGTCAGTAAACGCCAAATTACAAATGTTAATTTAATTGTTCAATGGGGCATTTCACTAAGTTAGTACAGTTGTTTTTGTTCTTACGGTGTTTATTGCTAATCAGAGATGCTGTCTCTGGAGAAGAAGATGTCATGGTTGTGTCATCAGGGTGGATTGGTGCACCTTGGGAAATGCAGTGCACCATACTAGAAAATGAAAGTCAGAATGTGTCTACCACTTCAGTTTTGGCCATTTTCCTCCACCCTCATGGAGGATGTGTGTTGCTAAAGTATTAAATGTGAGGATTTGCTCCTTTTCTGTTTTATACCATTGTTGGATAAAACGACATGTTATCTTGATATTTGTGGTTTCTCATTATTGCCTGACATTTTCTAGACTGAATGATTATTCTGTTAATCAACAGAATTAAGATTTATTGATGATGAAAATAATCATTACTTGTAGCCCTGTAATTATGTGGGTTTGCTGTGACATTAAGATTTCCCTTCAGTAAAGCTGGGAAACCAAACCAAAAGCATAACACTGACCATGCCATCTAGTTTCTGTGATTAGTTCATCCACTACAGTGTTGTAATCTCTGAGGTGCAAGATGCATTCAGTTCTCAAACATGTTTGCATTTTATTCAGTAAAAAGACCTTTTATAGGACTCTGCTTTGTCTTTTTTATAAGTCTCTATTCAGCCTGTTTGGATGTTGAGGATATGTCTGTGATCATACTGTTGTGTTTTGTTGTCCCTCCTCAGGTCTCCTGGCGTCTGTGCAGAGCACGCTTGGTAACCCCTCCCTGCAGTCGTCACTAAGCAACCCCAACATCCAGTCATCGCTTAGCAGCCACTCCTTTTCCAACTCTCTGAGCTCCGCCTCCCTGCACTCGTCCCTCAGCAACCCCTCACTACAATCGTCCCTCAGCTCCTCCCCCTCTCTGCCATCCTCCCTCAGCAGCCAATCGCTGCACTCTTCCCTCAGTAACTCCTCCCTCCAGTCAGCATCCAGCGGTAACCCCAGTTACAGCAGCAGCATGGGCGGCTCCAGTTCCTGCTCCTCATCCTACTCACCGCTGCTCAGTGGACAGGGTCAGCCGTCACTCAGCACATCACCACGGAGACGAGCCCAGCTGTCCCCGCTCATCCTGCCCATGGGAGGGGAGTCACGGAGGCATCACTCAAAACAGTTCTCCCCAACCATTTCCCCCACTCTGTCCTCCATCACACAGGTAACACACACACCTTTTGAGCACATTTACTCAAGGCCTGTACTTAAGTACAATTTTGACATATTTGTATTTCAGTGTTTTCGTTTTATGATACTTTGTACTTTGCTACATTTATACAGCAGCTGTAAATGCTAGTTACTTTGCAGATTGAGGTGAATAGTACAAAATATAATCAACAAATGAACGATGACATATATGTTGAAAGAAAGGTTTTTGATTACTGGGGAACATGTACAAACTATCCTAAACATGCTGGCTGTAGAGCTTCCTGAACTAATCAAACACAAAGACATTTACCAGTATCCAGCATATGGCTGCTGCTAACATCCTGCCTCCGCCTTCAGGGCGTCCCCCTGGACACCAGTAAACTGCCTCTGGACCAGAGGCTCCCTCCGTACCCACTCAGCCAGTCCCACCAACACCAGCCAGGCTCCCACCAGCCTCTGCCAGGCTCCATGCCCGGCCAGCAGCCCTCTCCATTGGGTCAGCACCACCACCAACAGCTGCACCGCCAGCAACAACAGTCGCAGTCCATGCAGCAGCTCCACATGCAGAACCTACGCAACCAGCACATGCAGCAGCACTTTGGAACAGTATGATTGTCCAGATTAGTATATGGAATAGATAACACGTAAAGAAAAACTAAAACAGACAGCTGGTTTGAGATGTTTCTTATCCATATAACACCAACACTCACCTGTGCATCTGAGCTCACAGTCATTATGTCGTGTGTCCCTGCAGCAGAGGACGGTGGGGCCGCACATGAACACAACCAACACGTTACTGATCAAGAACGAGAGCGCATTGGACCCATGCAACCAGAGCTCTTCGTCCTCTGAGTGTCAGGTCAAACAGGAAGCAGAGCAGCAGAGAGCGGGCGGCCTCCCACAGCTCCAACAGATCAGCCATAACCTGGCCGCAGACCTGTACAACGTAAGTCAGAAACAACTGCAGCTATATGATCCATAACAGGGTTGATCATCCATTCATTGTTGTCTGAATTTCTGTATTAGAAGAGTTTGTCAGAAGGACGGCTCACCATTTGTAGCCTTAATGAACTGTATTTAATCATCTGTGTATACCCTCGTTCTTAAAAAAGTGATATATAAATAAAATAGCTATTTCTAAAATAACAGTGTTTATTCACATTAAAGGCTTTATTGTTAAGAAACTGATTAACAGGCACATTTGGAAAGTTAACACTGCTTATCTGTCAGAATCAGAGGTGTCATGTTCCCAGTGCTAAGGTGAACTGACTGAGAACCATCATCTGATGCTATTTATGGAGCTTGTGGTGAGAAGTCATTTGATCAGCCAAAGTTAAAGAGGCTTCCGGACGTCGACTGTTGCAGCCTCAGGAGTTTGGCTGTTTAGGGCTTCTGCAGACAACGTGGTGATTTATGAGGAACCTTTGACAGCTGAAAGGCTTATTCTTTAATCTCTTTTATTTCTGAATTTGAAATAAGCAGACAACTCAAATTATACACACTCAACTGTTCATGCCTTGCGAGGGGCGAAACTCGCTACAAGTCGATTTGGTGGAGTCACACCTGCCAAACCACACTGTCCTTTTCGCACCCCATCAGTGCCACCCTGGGAAGGCAGCTAAGATGGGCCTGTAGTCAGAGATGGCCTCAGCTGTGCCTCTGTGGATGGCTCAACCCCATGCGTTTAACTTCCAACAAAACTGTACATACATTCACAGAACTCTCTAGAGAATATGCACAGTTATTAATGTGAGCCATGTGTAATCCTAAAAATAATCTCCAACCACTGTCGACTGCAGAAAACTACCTGATGAATCACCATGTGTTGTTCCCTGTAGCGAACGTGTCAGGGCGGCTGTCAGAGGTCAGTTCAGGACGAGGAACGAGGCAGGCTTTCTACAAGCTGTTATAGGAAAGCAGACAGAGCAGGCTCAGGATTTTAAATGAGCAGGAGACGCCATGTTTGATGTGCCAGTCCAACAGGCTTCATGTTGAAGCAGTAGTCACTCCAGAACCTGACACATGCATCTTATTTTTAGTTCACACAGCCTTCTACTAGTGGAGGTAAATGTGTATTTCCCAAACAAGTGTGTAGTCCTGTACAGAGCTGTGGTTTCACCGGGAAACGAGAAGAGATCACCTCCTAAAACATCATGTCCAGACACCGTTCTCCTCCTCAGCCTATAATTTTATGTAGATTTAATACTAGGTTTAAAATATGTGCCCAGACACTGCATCAGTCGCATGTAAGTGTTGAACAGCTGTAATGATTATTTATACATGTCCTTTAGTGACACATGATGTACTTAACAGAGCGGTGCTACTCGCTTGTTTAGTACATTGTTATTGGAGCCATATGCTGTTGTTTGTGTTGTTTGTTTTTTTTTTTTTAACTTTTATTACTATTTTTGTCTTAGTTTAGCCTGTTGAGTGTGTATAATTTGAGTTGGTCTTACTCTGTGTTGGAAATTGAGTCATCTGTTAATGTGATTAGACCTCATGAAGAACAGCGTCTGTTCTGACTGGAAACCTATCTAATGAAATGAAAGCAGAGGTGTGGCTCGGCTGACACAGGACCAGGTGGCCTCACCGCTGCACACTGCGTCTACAGTTCAAATGACTGTAGACACAGTGTGATTGTCCACAAATGAACTTAAAGTCTAGGCTTCCATTTTTCTTGTGTGTGACCAGTGCTTTGTTTTCCCAGGATGCCTTGTTCAACTCTCTGCTGGACGACCCCTACCTAAGTCTGCAGCTCACAGGCAAATCCAACCAGCAGGTTAGCAGCTTGCTTTCACCCGATGTCATCTGATCCTGTAAATACCATTGGCTGAAGGGAGGGTGATGTCACCCACTGGTGCTGGAACGGATCCTTTTAAACCCAGCAGGGTTTGTTTGTGAATATGTTGTCCTGTTTTGGCATCAGAGCTGAATTTATCCATGTGACCTTCTTCCCAGAGGTCATTTTAGCTTGGTTTAAGAGCGTGTGGATGTGGGATTGGCTGTTTTCAGAAAGTTACAGAAATAGTGGGACACAGACCGCCCTTGAACCTATCACCGGGAACGTGTCTGGGGAAGGAGTTTGCAAAGTTATAGAGTTAAATACTGACTCTTATTGTGTATTGCAGGATATCAAATGTGACTGGACTGGGATTGGGGGCAGAAAACTTGACTGGGGCATCCTTAGTTTTAGCCCCTCTCTGTTTATGTTGTTTGGCTCACTTCTGTGTAAAACCACATTCCACGGTGGGGGTGGGTGCATCTCTTTTCTGACTGTTGCACCAGAATGACAAAAGAACATGGGTTACACAAAGACCAGTCAAGCTTAGGAAGACCATTAAACTTAAGAAAACCCAGCTGGTGGTAAAGGTGCCAGCCGTGAAGTACTGCACACTACATCCAGTTTGAGTCCAGCCAGGGACTCGGACTCTCTGGCTGGACTCCCGCCCCTCGTTTTCTGTCAGCTCTCGACTGTAAACATTTCCAGTAAAGGCATCGCGCTGTATTCATGAGGTCCAGAGAAACCACATGTATTTCTAGTTTATTTTCACAAACTGAAGGAGAAGCTGGGAAGAAATGGAAATATTCAATGTAAATAACAAGGGAGTAATAGGTAACCTAAAATGAGTAAAACATGGACAAATAGAAATTATTTAAAGTTTTTATCTAAGTACTTTAAAGAGGATACGATTTATTGGGTTCTTTTAAATCCTGCTAAAAATTAGCCAAGGATGGCCCCAGAAGCCAGAACGCTGCACGGGGGGATTTTAGAGAGTTGGCTTCACACAAGTCGTGACATCAGAGCTTGATAGAGACTCTACAGGCTTCTTGTAGAACTTCATGAGGCTCAGTCGGGGTTTACTGTGGTTTATTGTTCTTTACAGGCTGTCCTAAGGTAGTATTTCTCTAATAGCAGAGAACCCTCTGTGCTTAATACTAGAGCATTTGTCTTACTTCTTCAGTCTGTCTGGATACTTTGTTCTTCTAAATCCCAGATAAGCTCAAGGCCGTTTTGGAAATTCAGCACAAATTCCTAGATGATGGTTGGGATTCTTCTGTGGGTTTGGACAGCAAAAGATATTAACTGACATGTAGATATGAACAGACAGACTCCCAGCCATTTGTACCCACATTATTAACACAGTTGTGATCCTCAAGACATTTACTGGGTGAAATTATTAAATTTCCAAGTAAAATGTGTTTTATTTTCACATTCCAGTTTAATCTTGTGGCCATCAAAAAAAAAAGCTTTGTAATAAATTATTTCCATAATAAATAAATGTTTATACCCTTCCATGGGTTGGTTTCCTGCCTTAAATGTGGACCTGTTCTTTCCATGTCCAGCTCACAGCAGAGAACCAGGGCGACGGTCTGTCCCTGAACCACAGCGCTCTGAGCTGCGGCAGCACTGATAAGACCCAGTTCCCTTCCAACACCCAGGGGCCCTTGGAGCAGCAGGACCCCGGGGACCAGCACCTCCTCAACAACCAGAACCAGAATTACAACTGCTGGGACGGACGGCATAACGTGCCCAACATCATCTTCACTGGTCAGTAGAAACTAGTCTTCATGCTGTTTCATGTTTTTTTCTAGCCCCAGTTGACCAAAAGTTTTTGATGCCTGACCTTAAGAAATATGTTCTAATATATAAATGCGTTTGATTTTTTTAATACTCGTTTCTATGCTATATAAACCTGTTCAGAGTTTATGTTTGTAGAATTTAAAAGACACTGGTAAAAAAACAGTGTAAACAATATGTATAAAATTGTATATAGTAAGTGGATAATGTCCAGCAACAGAAACAAGGCAAAGGAAGCAAAATGATAAGACACTGAAACATTTTTCTGCGACTATCTTCTATAAGACACAATTCACTTAGTTTATTAAAATCTTCCTGAGCGTTGACTTGTGATGCTTAGGGAAATGGAGGTGAGATGATTATCTAATCAGAGAGAAAGGAATTGATTTGAAAGTCAGACTAGTAGAGTTCCCCTGCTCAGGCGTGTCGTTACATGAGTACATTCATAAAACCTTAGTGTTAGGAGTTCATGAGCAGATGTGCAGATTTGTGCTTCTGAAAAACCATACAACCTGCTTCCTCACCAAAAGAGACTGATGTGAACTGAACTTCTTCTTGTTATATTGATGTTTGTTAAAAAAGAAGGTGTGATTTCTACTGTCCCGGAGAAGTGTCTCTAATGAACCTGAGCCTTACCATCAGAGAATAATTCAGCATCGTCCTCTCTGTTAGTCAAAGCCAGCTTTAAACGTCGCCTCCCTTGTGTGTATCACAGCCTCATACCTCTCCTCACTGGAGACCAACACATGTACTGTTTCCTCCTGTTTGACTAAAAACTACAGACAGCAGCTGTTTTAGGAAATTACTGACTTTTTAAAACAGAGGCTATGTTATTTTGTGAGGTGTTGTTCAACATTAAAGTCTTCAGTAGGAACCGGTGAGCTTTGAGAGATGGACCTTGTTGTTCTGCCTCTGCACATGAGAAATATTTAGAATAATGCCAGACTTGTATTATTCAAGGCCTCAAATGTAAAAATGTTGCATCTTCATGGTTTGGGATGATACAGTGTGCAGGCCACCTGTCGTGTGGGGGGATCTGCACCCGGTCCACCCACTTTGTACTCAGTTGTTTCACAAACACTCATTCATTCTTTCTCTGGTTCCAGCTTCTCAAATGTGAGCAAAAGGCAACTTTAAGGCTCTGGCAGCCTGTGAGGGACAGTTTTCAGTATGTTCTGACATTTAATATACGAAGCAATGAATCAGAAAGAACAGTCAGCAGAGTGATTGATAATGAAGGGGCTTCAGGCAGATTTCAGCCATGTGTGCAGGTGTTCTGATGATCACTGACTTTGTAGTTTCTCTGAAGCTTTGACCATGCCCGCCGTCCCTCCCTCCCTGCAGGAGACTCTCCACCGGGTCTGTCCAAAGAGATTGCCAACGCCCTGTCGCATGTCCCTGGCTTTGAGATGCACCCTTTCTCTCTGGATGACCCGCTCAGGATGGACCCCCTGGCTCTGGACATGCTGGACGGCGACCTGATGCTTGCAGACCCAGCTGTGGAGGACTCTTTCCGATCCGACCGGCTTAAGTGACCTCTTCCCAGCCCCCCCCTCCGCTCCAGCAGCTTGGTGGTAATCCAGCGACGAGACGACCACCTGGACGGAGGTGAAAAGGACGGGGCCCATTCATCGCTCCCCCCCTCCCCCACCCAGCCGGCATGTAGAGCGAGGTTTGGATGCAGCTCAGGATTTTTTTTATTGTTAAAGAGAAGAGCCTGAGAGTTCTGCCGGGTGTCGGGATGAACCAAAGGAGGGGAGCTTTTCTGTCAAAGGCACTTATCTGAAAACGCTCTTACAATGCTTGAAGTCAAGAAAGATGCTTCTCTTTTTAGGCATTAGCTTGTACGTGTCTTATCTGCATGTTAATGAACAGTGCACTCACTTAAATGCAAGTACACAAGAATAAAATGCTCAAGTGACGTCAGCTTTATGTAAGAAACGTCTGTAAAAACCAGCAACGCTTGGAAGATCTTGAAATGTGCTATGCATCCTGACAGACATGCCCCTGAGCTTTCTGACTGTTTCTGTTACTGCTTCATCCAGCGGCCATGTTGGACTCTTTTACCCCAGACTGCCATTAACTTAGGACCTAACCACCAGTCAGACACCAGTAGTTTGGCTTTCTCTGCTTCAGCTGCCACTTTGACAGGATCCTAGCCATAGTTTAGAGCTTTATATATTTGAAAAAGAAAAATGTATTTAACAGCCTGAGGGAGGTGCTGATATTCTCCCCAGGCCACAGCTTTTCCAGGTCTTGTCTTAACACCAGATGGAGGATGAGTCCCGAGCTCTCAGCATGCAGCACAGGAGACGTGAGAAAACGCACGTCCGATGTGATCACAGACCATCAGTTCACCCTGTAGCTCCTACATCACTGCCAGTGGGACGAGTGTCATTGTTGAAGCTTCTTCAGAGACTTGACTGAGCTGCAGTCTGAAGCCTGAACATGCAGAGTAAAGAAAACCACCTGTTTGACGTTCAAATCTGCCTCCCAAACTGCCCTAAATGTCTCTGCAATAAACACGTGTTCTTCACAGCATCTTGTTTCAGCCTTCAGACTGCAGCTCAGAAGGGTTGGGTGTGTTCCCGCCTCGTGTGCGTGCTGTCTGTCCCAGAGGTCCCACTCTCATCCACATTCCCTCGAACAGAGACAAATGCTCACAATGTGTCGGATGCACTTGCCTTTTGTTATATATGGATGATCCGTATTTTATTTCATTCAAGAAAATGATGCATTTCACTGATGAATGCGAAAGTGTTGAATGACACAGAGTGAGGAGGTCGAATGATTCATCAGCAATTGGAACCCGTGGTTCCTTTACACCTCGAGAAGAGAGGAATGCGTCGAGGTCTTGCATCATTCAGGTGTCAGCCGGCGTCATGTTGTGTGGAAGAACCCCAAGCACTCATATCTGCATCTGTTTCTGTTGAGACGGCTATGTCAGTTGCCCCCTCAGGCTTGAGCTTTACTGTCCCATCAGGTCAGGTTTTTTTTTTTTTTTTGAAGGGCAGTTCCACCGAGACAGACACTGATGTTGCCGTTTTATCTGAAGCCCACAGAGTTGTGAAATTTAATCATTGTGTGCACAGTTCTTCTTTCTTTCATGGGTCTTTCTGAAAAAGTGAAACGTGCCTTGAGTTTAGTCGTCGTCCTCCTCCTCTCAGCTCTGTTGCAGCAGCTGCTATTAGACATTTAAACCCTGTTATTTTAACAGTTACTTTGTGAGCACAGAAGAAGTGCTAATGTCATCCTAACGTGGTTTCATGCTTGTGCATACAGTCATTTGCTTGTTGAAACTCTGCTGTCGACTTGCTTGTCGACTCACCTCATGATGAGATTGTAGGTGAAAAGTGGTGTTCAATAAACCAGCCATAGAAGTATTGGAAAAACAAGATGACTTTTTTTTTTTTTTTTTTTTTTTTAAACATACGGAGTGAACCATGGGACCTACAGCTGTTTCCAGCTGGGATCTCTAGTTACCACACGAGCTTCTTTCTTCTGTAAGAGAACAAAACAGTTCCAGTTTCCTTTTGACCCTGTTTTCTTTCAAGTGTGTTGTCTTATGGATATGAATGTAAAACTGTATGCACACGAGAAGTTCTGCATGCTTTTCACTAACTTGTGCACCACAAAAACTGTGTTCACATATTTTTATGCACTTAAATTATTATCTGGTGCACACAAACATATGACCTTCATGTAATGGAGCTTTGCTCGCACAAGATAGTGATTAGTTTGAGGACATTTCAGGATTGGGAGGTATAAACGGGTTCCTGTGGCATCAAACCACGCAGTTGGTTTGATTTGATGATCACGTCCTGTGGCCTTTAGATAAATATAATTTTCTTAATATAGAACTGAAAACAAAATACACTTGTTTTAAAACTAGAACCCAAAGAAGTTATCTTCTTTCAGCCTGATTAGACTCGAAATCGTGTCTCCACAAAATAGAAAACGATTGTGTGTGTGTGTGTGCGCGCGCGCGCGTGTGTTTTAGAACCCACAAAATTTTTTTTTTTTTTTTTTGGTGGCACTGCCCTTTAACCCCAGTCACTGTGATTGACAGCCCTTAGCCCCTCCCTCTCTACCTGCACTTGCTGCACCTGTGTCTCAATAATGTATTTTTATTGTAAGAAAGGTTAAAAATTACTTTTAATATTCAGACATTAAATAAGTTTTATTTTTTAAGTCAAAGTGGTTTAAATCCTTCTGTATATAATTTCTCAGATAATACCTTTAAAACAGTATATTTAAGAGAAGAAAACAAACGGCTTGTAGAAGTTTGAGGTGAGATGCATGCAGTTGAGAGGTTTGAACAACAGCCTGTGAAATTAGCTGTTCGTGTCTTGTGTTGTCTGGTTTCTGCACCTCTAACCCAGAAACACTGTCGAGTTTTGGTTTAGCTTCTTTCGAATGCTGGTCGTCAGTTCTGTGTCCAAGCGCTTGGTGAAGTGAGAGAGTGATCAATCGCTTTGTCTGCTCAAGTCTCGTTCTGGTCTGGTTCAAGTTTAGCAGCAGCAGGAGAACATGGTCTGGGTCGTGGCTCTCAGTTTCAGGTTTTGGAACATGCTGGAAGACTTTTCCATCCAGCCCTCCCATCTCTGTGACTATGTTGTAGCATCACAGCCTTTGTTCATAGCGACCTGCTGTTGGGTGGGAGTTGACCTTTTTTTGACCTTCATTTACAAGTTGATTCACTGCAAACCAGAGTGCTCCATAGAAACCAGGTTATAGTCCCCTTAAAATAAAATGAATGAAAATAAAATGAAATGTGACAAATCAACTAACATAAAAATGAATGCAGTAATATGTTTCCCCAAATTAATTAATAGATAAAGCTCAGTGCAACATTGATCTGACTTGTTTTGTTAATAGTAAACTAAACTGATAAATGTCCCACTGTCAGCATTGCCATTATTTTGACATTCATTTCCTGTTGAGATCTGGAAAGTTTTGAAGACCAGTTTTAGGTCTGAAACATGAAAATGAAACAAACACCATGAGAGGATGAAAGTTGGTTAGATGAGAAAACTGTGGACGAGAGCGTTTCTGGGATGATTTAAGCCTTAAAGCCAGAGATGAAAGAATTCATGTGCCTGAAGTCAGGAAGCTGTGGAAATGAAAGAGGAGGAGCAGCTGCATACGTGTAGATGCTGAACAGGCCGGCGGAGGATTGACAGTCCCTGCAGATTCAGAGGGTGGAGTCCGGTGGCGCCTACGGGTCGGTTCAGGCTGCCGCTGCTCCGCCCGTGGATTGGAGGATTCTTGGATCAGCTCCTGAAAATTAGATGCAAGATGTTGAACAGATGAAAACAGAGTTTTCAGTTTGACTTTTTAATTCTCTTGTCTGGAAACATAACTGCAGTAATTGCAAAAAATAAAAACAGTTTGTGGAGAGAATGTTTTAGAGGTTCATTGTGTAGGAAAAGATCTCAGCAAGTCTGCAGCAAATGTCAGAAGTTCCCAGAGGAGGGAGCCAGGGGCAGCAGATAACCTCTGTCCCTTAAGTCAGTCTAGGTTGGCGGAAGGTTTGTTGTTAGAGTCTTGTTTCTGTACTGCTTCGTTGGATGTCTTGTGTTGATGGTGTGTGTATTCTGGTGACCCAGGAGGTGATATAAAGGGGGGGTGGGGGGGCTTCTATGTGAAATGTTACTGAACTACGTTACAGGCGCAGTGAAAGGCTTGATGCAGTGACCTTGTTACTAGGTGCAGCCAGTGGTTCAGGCTCTGATGAACTGTCAGGTTTAGTCTGAAAACACTATGCAGCCCGACAGATAAGTGGCAGGGGTCAATGCGCTGGCTGTCAGCATCTTATTGCAGATGTGTTGTATCGGTGTAATGACAAGACACTGCAGAAAAAAAGCACCTGGAGATGTTTGGAAGCATTAGGTTTCTTTGTGTAAAGGGATTCTGTACATACTGTAAAACCTGCTGCCCGATCTGTTTCTCAGCGGCAGGAACATTATCAGAGATCTTTATTTATGTGATGCAGCGTGTGAAGTCTTGTTGTTTAGTCGTTTCAGAACACTGCAGGCATTCACCATGACAAGCCACTGTGTCTGTGTTTAAAGCTAGTGCTTCTCAACAGAGCCACCTGTTTTACCTGTTCTGACCAGCAAACGTGGACTTCACTCTTTATTTTCTTCTCTCCGTTGTTGTGGTTCGTCCTGCCCTTTTCCCAACCTTAACCCCTTCCTTTTTATTCTTTGTCAAAAAACGGCATGAATTTCAGTCCTATTAAAGTCCCTTTACAGTGAATGGAGGATCCACATTTTTGAATCTTCCCGTTTCTCATTTCCACTAAATCCCACAAACGAGCAGAACCAGGTTTCTGCTTCTCCCAACAGGCTCAGATTCAGTGGTTTGTTGTGGGGTTGTTTTTTTGCAGTGGAGTCTGCAGAACTCGTATTCTAATGTCTACCTGGTTGACTGCACTTTCTGCAGAGTTTTACCTTTACAGCAGCATTTTCAGGATTCAGACTGAAACCTGTCAGATCAAATCAGACGGAGATGGAAAAGTGTGAAGACAAAGCAGTTTGTGTCCAAAATGTTTTCACATGAACAAAGATCAGAGCGATCAGCCCAAGAGGAAACTTTTTTTTTAAGAGACAATTTGTTCTTTTTAAAAATGACCCAATGTTCATTTTAGAAGCAGCAGCATTTTATTTTTACGCTCTGTCATGTTTATAAGAGCAGACATCAGTTAGAAGGTCAAAGAGTCGGTGTGGAGGAGAAATGGAGGTTTAAACGTTTTCACTCAGCTGTGTGTCTGTGTTTGTAGCATCTTGCTGTTATGCAATAAACCTGTCAAACGTGCAGTTCCAGATTCAGCCAACAGGAGGCGACAGTTTTGTGTGTGCAGACTAGGGATCAGTTAAAGGCCATATTTCATATTTTTATATTTTTTATTGATGTATTATATTAATTTCTCACATTACTAATGTTATTGTTGGTGTTTGTTTCTCATGTTTGGGGCTCCCGAAAATAAAATGA